CTCCTGGCTTACTCTGCTCCAGCTATGGCTCGCATAATTTAAAAGTTCAGAACACATAATTTTGTTATTTTACTCAAAATTGGCCTTTTTTGATGGCGTTCTTTTCAGTGAAATATGACCCTCGTTTCTTCAAATGGTTTCATCACCATAATAGTGTCTTGCCTTCTTTATACGCTTTAATTTTTATAGATACGCTTGTTGTTTCATTTAACTTGCATTTTCTTTCCTTGTTTTTGTCTTTTTTCCTGCCTAAATTTGCTGATATATTTTTTTTATTCTTTTCTCATTTTGTTTCATACCATAGCTATATAAATTAATTTGTATTTTTAATAAACTGCCGCATATCGCCCTGTACTAGTAAACAGTGATCGGTACTCTTTTCGTCTTTGGTTTCTTTAATTATTTGTTTCCCAAGCTAGATCCTCTTTTTGGTTGGCGAAAATTTCTGCTGCCTTCAACCATTGGATCTAGCGTATTAAGTAGTTGTCCGGTCGTAAGTTACTCACTCGTTACTGGAAGAAAGAAAATTTGTTATTTCTGTTCTTGGATGACAGAACTCACTCCCACGTACTATTAGGAAAAAATTCATCGGATACCTTATATCTACTGGCTCAATTTATTTAAATTTCGTTGCATTTATCAAATTTTACTTATATATAGTCAGTAGCGGGTAATAATCTCGCCTCAATGGCTCCATTCGTGTTCTACGAAACGTGACACCGTCTGCGGAAAACAAATCCTTACAGGCTGCTCCCCCTAGAGACTTCCACTAGAGTAATGAGGACATATACGAGATTAGATTGTTGTTGCCATGTGATTCATTGTATGCTAATTAGAGGCGTCACTTTACAGTGCTTAGCATTCAACTTCTCGCTGCCACTGAAGTGATCATCACCACTTTTGCTTTCTGCTAACACTGACAGCTAGAAAAGGCTGAGGACATGGTTATACCAACACCCTGTTGAAGATGTTGTGTAGTTGGAAGTGCTTCAGGTCGTCTGCTGCGTCAGAGAAGCTAAATGGTATTCTAGGAATTGCAACTGCTCAATAGGGAAAGAACGCACGATCCTGAAACTGACGAGTCATAGACGTGTTGAGGGTCTCATTGCGTCAAGGTTCTTGAATTCGAACTTTTTATCTGGAGCCAGTCCAGAATCTTGGATGCTGTTGCATTGAAATGCTAACCAGTTCCAAGGCCATAGAATGAGTCCAAAAACCACGACACCGTTTCAGCCGTATGCCTTCTTAAAACGTGTTGTCTAGAGCCGTAGAAATTAGTTTCCATGCCTTCTTTCCGCTTCTTTAAATCACATCCCCAATGCAACTTTCTAAAATGTTCGTGCCTCCACGAAAACACCTTGAGGCGTTGATTTTCAACGCGGACACAGTAAACAGGAATTTCTTGTCCAAAAACAGGTTATCCGTGGTTGTTGAGCATTGATTGGGCACACCTTATGTCGAGACAATCAAATCTGTTTATCTATTTAGTCTACAAGTGAATTGACGATCGCGACTTCGTACCTTGAGATAACGCCTCTCCGGCCATCTGTTACTGCCAGGTCGTCTGGGCGTAACATATGGCTGGATTCTTCGGATTCCACAAAACACCTCAAATTGCATCGCCACTCAAAAATATTTCCATTATCCTCGTCTTATTTATCCATGCGAGGGAGGATTAAGATCCGGGCACTGACTGTCCATCCGTTATTAGTTTAAATTCCTGAAAATGCATGTGTGACTGTCCTTCGGTGACTCTCATGACTTCGATTTTTCGCTGACTTAGGCGTCACCCTTGTTCCTAATTTTTGGAGGTGACGAATTCTCGACTGATCGTGATTAGTTTGCTCATTTTCAATAACTTAAACACCACCGCTACAACCACACGACTGCGCGATCGATTTTTCATCACGCAAGCGAGTTTAACTGAGTTGAATTCATAAAAATCGATATTTGGTAGTTTCCCGCCCTGCGGACAAAAAACCATTCCACGAGGCCGCACCATCACCGCCATTTCAATTTTTGTGTGGTGATTTAAAAGTAGTCAATCGGGGGATGCTGAAACAATTGATGCTCGCCCAAAATTGGCCTCATTTTGAGATGTAACAATTCTATTTAAAAAAAAAAGAACTGATTTTAGCGGGGAAGGCCAATTTGTGGTGGCGTTAACAAAGATGTGCCAATCAGAGAGTCGGTTACCACTTTTAAGTCATCCCCACAATCATCGGTATTGTCGCGTTCCAACGCCAGTCACCCATTCAAATCTGGGCAACACACACCTGGTGGGTAATTGTGTCAAATTAAATCTACACCAGCCAATCACAGAATCCGGACGTCCAGTGGCAGACCGTTGCTGAAGAAATGAACTACCTATGCGGTTCCAGAGAGCTTCAAACAGGTGTGGAGTGTTGGACTACCCTTTCTGACTGACAGCCCATTCTTCGTCTCCTCCATACCGACACATTCTGTCTGTGGACAGTTCCTATTCGTGAACATCACCGCGAAACACCGTCTACGAAGAGAACAAGTCGGAGGAGATATCGCGTCACCGACCCTGGTAACAACAGTTTGATGGATTTGTTGAAGGTTGAACAAAAAACTAACGGTTAGAATCGCACGAATTCAAAATCCGTATTCCTTCCTTCTCAAACGTCGGTGAGACCGATCGAATAGCACTTTCGTCAAATTCGCGACACCATATTTCCAAGGAATTGTGCTCTGCGTGAATTAGTCGTCACAGGCTCACAACCTGTTGCTCAAAAATCCTCATAGACTCAGTGAACGAGGTCACGTACAGTCTCCATCACCGCGAAGTAGGTCAGAGGGGGACAAGCGTGGTCACTTGCCTCCCACCCCTCCCCACCGGTTGCCACGGCTGCTGCCTCAACTGTCTAGACATCTATAAAATACACACACGCACGCATGCACACATCGCCGGATCGTGGGATTCGCAAAAGCCACGATACCGGTTGTACAACAGCCAGCCAACCAATGAGAATGCGCACTGATCGATTAAGCAATACCCTGCATTCGAATTTCAAATTCTCGTGGATGCAAATTTACTTTAAATGACTCCTGGTATCGGCAGCATATTAATCGAGGCAAACTTTGTGTACTTTTACTTACAAGGAGATGGGTCACGTGATAGAACTTATTGATATTAGGGTCCCATATTATTCAATCAAGTGTAGGCGAAGTGGGAACAGTCGACATCGCACGACTGTCTCTGTGCCCTTCTGATCGGTTGGGCAGAAAATAATTTCGGTTGCCCCCCAATACACCAAACTTCTGTCAGCTTTTTTTGACTTAACAACCATAAAGGGATATTTTTAGCTATGTTAAGAAGCTAGCGGCGTTTAATCTTGCTTACAGCGGTAATGTCTGGATTGGTTTGAGCATGGGGTGGAATTTTTTGCAGTCGGACGCAAGAATATTCGTGCTTCTGAAATTAATTGTCAATGGTGAAGAAGCCTGAATCGTCTGCAATGGCATTAATTGATAAGAGTGATGTTCCAAACGTGAATGAACAGCACCAACCACAATGGAAGTTGGCAGATCATGCTGTGACTTTTGGCGCGATTTCGAATAGGTTCCAGGTTAGAAAACAACCATTTTCAGATGTCTACTGCCACCAACCAATGAGAGCTCGCGATCAGCACAAAACGCGTTCCAGCAGCACAATCTAAGTCCTTGAAAAACGAGCTTCCCCTAGTTGAGATGTGAGTTGATTTTTTTGAATGGCAATACCTTTTTATTGCTGCTGCTGCTACTAGTGATGATGGATTTAATAAGTCAACTCCCATTGGTTGAACACACAAAGTTGAAGTCAATCCACACCACACGAAATCGAAACTACCACGCCACAATTTAACAAACCACTCCCACTGTCGCCTGCGCCAACCATGGCGACTACGCGATGTATCAACAGACTGACCGTGTTCCCGTTACTAGGGGAGCGTCTAACCTGGGCCCAGCTGCACATTTTTTTTACCTCCCCCCCCCCCACCTCCCTTCCCTTTTCAGACAATTAAGTGATGACCACTGCAGCTGGGCGGGCGGGCGAGCGTGCGGTGTGGGTGAGGAGGGGACATTTAACGAGGTAAGGGTACAGCATCATATTTCAATAACAGTCGCGCGAGGACACACGGCCATAGCAACACAAACACCCCAGCCAGTAAAATGAGATCGCAGCCCGCAAATCCCAGTGACAAGGCAACCACCGGCCGACTGGCTTGAGTAGAGGAGGGGTTGTGGGAGGGCTTGAGGGGGTACCCAACTCGAACCGGAAGCGTATTTTTTTATTGACACACGTACACCAATAGGCGTGGCATGGCAACCAGGTGAGAACAGAGGCATCGACTGCTGCAGCTGTTCTCGGCTTGTGTCGATTTCGTGGGAAGTTATACTACTGGCGGACGGATCTGGCTAACGGGACCATGGGAATTCAAGCCTTGTGCTGTCCACAGCCAATCGACGGACACTGGAGGTAGTCGTTGTCGTTACGGTGGGATGTGTTCAACGGAACCCCGGGTAGCAGTGGCGTGGTTGGTTCCACTTTGGAATACAGATTCTCAGTATGTGAGTCTCGACCTTCCATTGATTGTTGGTCATACTTGAACACAATAATGGAATAGGTCTCTGAACAAACAACAGTTCGGAAGGCTAGAAAATTTCATGGACTGGCTAGTCCTACAAGTTAATCGAATTATTTAAGTGGTAAATGGCGATGTAATTTGTTTAAACCGAACGATGATGTCTCATTGGTACTAAAACTGTCATAATTCAATTTAACTATCACCTGGTGAATTTAAAAATTTGCCAAAACCTTTTATTGATTTGCGTTCTCGAACTGCACTCAAAATTAGCGCGGCGCGAAAATTCAAATCACTTCACAATCGATTTTATCAATCAACTCCTGAGCGCTGCAGAATTGGTATTTCTGAGTGTTTTATGAGTATTTTAGCCCAGAAGGTAGTTAATAATGATATTGGGCAGAAATTAATCTTTATTGCGCCGTTTTGACAGCCATTTTACGTCTAAGCACCAACTTGGAATTTGATCCCAGCAAAATTGGCGTCATCGTGACCAATCAACTACGACGTCAGCGAAAACTTGAGCACTCTGACGCAATTTCACGATCGAATACTCAGCCTATGGAGCCCCAGATTGACGGCAGACGATGAAATAACATACTCATGATAAGGATTTTTCGCACGCAAGCATTCTCAGTGCCCCGCATTTTTCGACTTGTTAGTGTCGTGGATTAACTGGGTAGCAAAGCGTAAAAAATTCGACAAAATTTTCCGAATCAGCGGACGTAGTTAAGGCCACCTTAAGGCACCGACTGAGTAATCTGCCCTGATTATCATTTTAAGGGTTTAGCAACCCCTAAATTGATGCTACTTGGCTAACTGCGAGCTCATTGGTATAGTGTGACGGCGGTGTGATACCACTAGCCAATCACGTGGCAGTTTGCTCCGTGCGCGCGTGCGAGACTTGCTCATGCGTGTCCGTTTGGCGTAAACGCAAATCGCCTGAGTACAATGACAGCCAATCAGAGCACGCATAGAGGCCATCTCAAGCCCCCTTTAGCCTTGGCAGAGAGTTGTCCACCCCTAGGCCGAAATCCATATTCCAGAGGAGATTGGAGGGCATTGCAGATGTCCATTGAACCAGTCAACCAAGTCCCCGAGGTATGCAACGTCCACGACCGATTCATGAGCTTGGAGTATATTTCAACATCCCTGACTCGTTCCGTAAGCTCTCGTCTTATCTTCATTTTGATTTTATGCTGAAATTAGCAAGATTTTTATCCACCTGTCAAATCATAATTTCTTATCCACTCTGTGAGATATTACATGATTCCAACCTAATTGACGTCTTGAAACTCGGAACTTCACGTACGATTTCGTTCTGGCTGCCTTGCTATTCGTCCGTTTTTCCCCGAAATGGCTTTTTATTGTTCTAACTCAACCATAGACTCGTGTTAACACGTACAACCGACGACTTTAACGCCGTCTTCAAAATCACCGTGTTCCATGTGAAAGTGAGTCCCCCTTAAAGGTTCACGTGTGTGTTTGTAAAACCGACCTTGACAATCGTCCAAATTTGCCTCCGCACACAATCTCCTTAAATCGAACATCATCCACTGTCTTCTTTGATCGATTTTTACCTTGGTAACCTGCTTTAAACGGATCGAAATTTTCCACGTGTGAGCTCTGATCAATCCACGTTGGAGAAGCTAGTCACGTGCCGCGTTCATTGGTGGTTAAACCCGGGCCCTCACCGCACACACACACACACACCCCGATAGCTCGGTAAAAAATTTGCGTCCTGCCTCGGTGTTTACCCTCAAAGTGCGTCCGTGTGTGCGCACGCGTACGTGGGTGGGTGCACACAGCATGTTATCTCTTGCCACAAGGTTCCAAGTCAACAAGACCATTCCACTAAGCGTTTCAAAAAACACTTTTGCAAGATCACCACCTCACCGCTGCACAGTTGATGGGGCTAAATTATTGGCAAGAAAACGCGCTAACCATGACCATTGTGTTTGTTTTCTGCAAGTTTGGCAGAGGGCTAATTTGGTGCACGTGACACGGATTCAGACGATTTGATTGGCTACTGGGGTGAGGCAGGACCTCCGATAAACCAACTTGTTCATCCTCAACTTTCATGTGTCCTAATCAAGAGTTCTAGGTTGCCATGGTGTTAGAGATTAGACGATATCGTGCTGCTTCCACTTCCAGCTGATTGCTTATTTCAGGCTTCCAGTTTCCTGTGTACATCGAACCACAGAATCCATGCCTCCCGTCGCCACAAACGTCGTTCAGCTCCGACTCATTCCGCGAGGCAGTCGACCTCACCACTTCGTCGACTGGACCGCCTCTTCCTTCTCTTCCACCGCCACCTCCAGCGTTGGCGTCGATCGCCCATCCTAGTCACCTGGTTGGCACTCCGTTCCAGTTCAAACTTCCGACTGCCTTCTCCCTGCAATCGATCGTTTCTGGGGTTCCAGGACCAGGTGTTGACACCTCGACCGTCAGCGATGGATTTTCAGGAGGTGAGCCAGTCAAAAGTAATCATTTAGATGTGTAATGACCGCAATTGCATAAAGCAATTCAATTTCCATGTAGTAAAACGTCCACTGACCCTGACGGTGGAATCCGGCATGTCCACGCCTTTTCCTCTCGACAATCGATTCTGGCGTTCATGTGCCTACCCCATCGATAATAGCGGCTTGGTTGGACCCCAACTCTCCCCTCTGAAACGATCCTTCCGTCCAGTGAAGCGTCAACGACGCGACGCGTTCAGTCCCATCGCTTCGCCAACATTCATCTTTCCACCGCCTCCGCCACCTCCACCGCCACCACCACCACCTCCACCGCCATTAGTTACCCTACCTCATTCGGCGTCCAGCTCGCTTGATCTAGCACACCATCTCCTGAATGCTGTCTACTTTGACACCGCATCAACAAGTCTACGGCCTGGTAGAATCGGCGTGGAAAACTTCCGATGTCGGCTGTGCTCCAAACAATTCAGCACTCAGCATGGACTAGTGGTCCACATGCGAAGGTTCGTTAACGCACGTGACCTTGGGCTAGGCCAATCTTACTCCAAACCTAATAAGTAACAGTGTTCTGTTGTTTGTTTAAACTCGCCCATTTTGTGTCAAATCACTAGGGTACGGTGAGGGTCATAGAATGCGCAATAGAGTAAATGTTAAACGTGATCCTGAATGCCTCTCATTGGTCGAGCCTTTGTGTTGTCAGGTGCCACAAGGACAAAGGTGCATTGGAACACGATGCTCGTGTCAGACGCCATCTACCGAAAGATGATCCCGATTGCACTTCCAGATGTGGAGATGGTGGTGGTGGTGGAGGCTCCATCGAGCGCTCCTTCCACTGTTCCCACTGTGGCAAAGCCTTCAAGAGGTCCTCCACACTGAGCACGCATCTCCTTATCCACAGCGGAACGCGACCCTATCCATGTGAGTACTGTGGCAAACGCTTCCACCAAAAATCCGATATGAAGAAGCACACCTACATTCACACCGGTGAGTAGTCTGTGGTAGTTGAACCAGCACATTCAAAGTCTCCTACCAGGTGTCTAACAATTCATGGCATTCCTAGGGGAAAAGCCCTACCACTGTGGACTGTGTGGCAAGACCTTCAGCCAGTCGTCAAACCTGATCACACACTCTCGCAAGCACACCGGCTTCAAGCCTTTCACGTGCACCTTCTGTCCCCGCGCCTTCCAACGCAAAGTCGACCTGCGTCGACACCTCGACACACAGCACACCGGCGTGCCTCTGCTAGACGACTGTTCCGCCAACACGGCCACGCCGAAACCCCTTGCCTCGGTGCCGTTGGAGTCGAGCACCGAGTCCACGTCGCCGACAGACTTCGGCGCCATCTCGCGCAACCCTGGAGCGGTTCTCGACAAGGAGTCGTCGTCGTCGTCACCCCAACCACGGACCAAACCGCACTTCGCGTATTCCATCGAGCACATTCTCTCGTGCTAGAGCCTCCACCCAATCTATGCACTGTCCAGTGTATAAATATGCTTACGAGCTGTACATAGATTTTTAAGATTACATCAATTCTACTTTTCTAGGACTTTATCCAATCAGAATCGTCCGTCATGCGGTCAGCGAAATTCGATTTCGCGCTGATTGTTTGAGTGATTAAGAATACCAATCCAAGTAATATCTCAGAAATAGACTCTGGAACAACCTGTGCACAAAATTTGTCCGCGAAAATCGGCAAGTTGGCCGAGATAGAATGAGCCCTACATTAGCCAATCAGAAGTGCACGAAGGTGACGTGAAGTAGCGCTTTTGCGTCGGTAGTTTGTTTTAATCATGAGATGTCAGCATCGTGAGCATTACTAATACCACCCGGGTACCCTCATCAGCTCATCCTGGACACGCCATGAGTGCGTAAGTGCATCAACGGGAGAGGGGTGTGTGGGGCGAGAGGGAGGGAGGGTGCGCTTCTGATTCAAGCGCCCGCATACAGTCGATTGGGCGACACCCCAACCGGTTGCTATGGTGTGACCCCTGAGGGCAGCTTGACGCTCCCTTCAACAAAAACCGGACCTCGGGAAATTGAAAGGTGAGCAGGATGTGAAAAAAACAACAGACAAACAATGAAAGGGCTACAGCGTGATTCAAGCCATCATTTTGTCAGTTCGTAGACCAGCGTACCCGGCAGAAATTTACTTAGAGAACGACGCATCGGGTTCTTGATTGTTTAGGAAAACAAGCCTTAATAAATAAGCCTTCGTAAACACTGCCACTAGAAATTAACCCAGACGGTGAACGA